GCAATTACCCACCCCACCTCACCCCCACCATGTCTCAAGTTGCTTTTGGTTGTGGTGTTTCATTACAGCAATAGATATGCTAACCAAAATATAACTTTAGGAAAATCTGCAGGAGGGTGGAATTATAACATACACCTGAGTGGTTGTATTAGCTTGACAAAGTTCCTTAAAGTGTGGTTGCTTCATAATAGGAACATCACAGAAAAATCTTCAACTCTCAGAAACACACACACACTTCTAAAAGAATGGCTATGCAACTGTGTAATCTTGGCATGACCATCACCTTTGTTATCAATCATTATAGCCAAAGATTGTTGTTTACGATATTTTATTTAATACTCAGCATAGTTTACTAGGACATGTGTAATCATTTGCAAGGCTCTGATATTCTCCAATAAACTTAATAATCTTTAGAGCATCTTTGTACATTAGTTACCTGAACACTTTTCAGAGACACAGCTCAGCCCAATCCAAAGAAAATGTTTGCAACCCATAAAATGTCCCCTTTATGAACAGAGGTGGACAGGGAGCAGCACTAAAGGGAGAGAAGCATGTAGGCCAACCCTCATACTATCACTTCTCAGAAATCCAGGTTCAAATTGGAACCTGAAGCATTGGGAAATCCAGTGTAAGCCAAGGACAAAGTGCATGAATTCAAAGACTTGGCACGGGGAGATGGGTCAGACCATGAGAAAGAACTGTAAACCTGTGATTGTGAGTTTATAAACCGCAGTATCCAAACCTCAACTGTGTACAACCAATGCCAAACTATTAAACAAGAAACACAAGCTCTCCAAGACTTCCCTCCCTTCGGAAATAATCAGAGCCATCTGTTCCACCATTTTAAAAGCTGTTTCAAATAATATGTTCAGGTCTTACGAAGATTGTACTTTATATTCAAAAAAGAGGCTTAAATTGAACTATACTCTATTGTTGTGTTACCTTGCTTGTCCATCTGTCTTTTACTCATTATAACATTAATTTATTTAGAGATAAGAATTCAGCTTGCATCTCAAGCTTGTCTTGAACTTGAAATCCTCCTGCCTCTGCCTCCCAAGGCATAGTGTGTACTACTGTAGACAGCCAACATTATATTTAATGAAGTTTACTGCCTATATTTTCGATATGTGCTCTCCTAAACTGAGCATTCAGTTTCTAAAGTCTTGCTTTATAGGAGAAAAGAGAACAAATCAAAAGGAAATAATTAATATTACCTAAGCTATAAGTCCAGGAGAAACAGCAGGACTGTAATTTAAGATATTTTTAGTCAGGATTGGTTTATGCATTTACAGTATCTCACATCTTCAATTTAGTAATATCCAGACTTAGCAGCCATATTTTACATCGTTTGGACTACCTTAGCTGAGATTAGAGTCTTCAGGAAAGAAGAAAACAGCAGAATTTATATTTCTTGAGCAAAAGTAGTAAATCAGAACACTGACACCACAGCTGAACTGACCACATCTGGAGAACTCGTTTCTACCCTTGTCCATCCACTGCAGCAGAAAGTGCCTGATTCTGTGAACAAGGGAACATGGGACGCTCCATCATTTCCACTCTTACATTGCAGGATGATTTTCATATACCTGTTAAGAAGAGTAATTTCACACCTTTTTGTTGTTGTTGTTTTCAGAATAAAAAATTCAGACTAACCTCACAGTTTCCAGCTCAGGATCCTACAGGCTGTCTCAATTATGAATAACACAAGTTAAAAACTGAATCCATACAAATGCAGGCAAGTAAAGCACTTGTGAAAGTTGTGAGGACAGGATGGAACGGTCATAGACAGGTAACTTCACATTCAGAAACTCACCCCAAATAAGTATGGGTGTCCTGAAACTCTCAGGGTCTTGATTTTCTTTTGTGTAGAGGAGAATTTGCATTAGATATCCTCAATATGGAAAAGTTGAAAATGAAAAATTTGAAGACTAATAGATGCCACAATGGAAAATCCTACATTTTTCCTCATGTTAGAAGTCACAACCATAATGTAGGTAAACTAATGGATCAAGTGTTGAAATTAATCGAAGAAGAAGAAGAAGAAGAAGAAGAAGAAGAAGAAGAAGAAGAAGAAGAAGAAGAAGAAGAGAAGGAGGAGGAGGAGGAGAAGGAGGAGGAGGAGGAGGAGGAAGAAGGGGGGAGGGGGGCAGGAGGAGGGGGAGGAGGAGGAGGAGAGGGAAGAGGAGAAAGAGGAGGAGGAGGAGGAGGAGGAGGAGGAGAAACGGAAGAAATGGAAGAAGAAAATGGAGAAGAAGAAATAAAAAAGAAAGAAAAGGAAGAAAAAATACTGTGATTTCTTGAGAAGTTACCCTTAGGATATGTGGATACACATACATGAACCTTATTAAAGTAATCCCCCAAGATAGCTTAGTACACAATACAAATATTACAAATTCTGAAAAAGTCCAAACTCCAAAACATGTCTCGTCTCGACCAACCATTTCAGATATGCAGCCTGTAATAACAGTATCTAAATCAGAGCTTTGAGAAGTATACTAAACAGTGTATGTGAAACAGGTAACCCATCTTTTCTTCATCTCTTTCTCCTTCTTTACAAGTTTGCCCAGTAATGGTCTTGATTCTAAGAGGAAATGAGGAAATCAAAGTCACTGAAGGAAGAAGAAAAAGGAAGAAGAGAAAGATCTCAGAAAGTCATACTTTGTAATCATAGAGAACTGTGGTTTGAAAGCCAAGCCATGATGGCTCCTTTAGATTTGGTTATTGATTGTGGTCCAATCAAAGTGTCCAAAGTACACAAGATAGTAATGCTGAAAACCAAAATGGATATAATTATGGCTGACTTCTGAAGGGAACTGGTAGGCAGCCATAGTCACAAAATTCTCACAGCACTTTCCAGTATCTGCCCATGTTGGAATTAAACTAGGTTTTTCACATGTAACAAACAAAAACATAGATTCTCCAGTTAAAGTGTGAATTGTGAATAGTCCACAAATAATATTGAAAGCAATATTTGGTGTCTATTTTGTTCCTTGATATGCTTAGTTGTGAGAAAAATGATTCTCTTTCTTCTGTCACAGTGTCTACCTATTACAAAAGGAGAAACAGACATAAAAATAGCAGATGTAATGGAAAATGAATTCAATGGGATGAAAGTGGCAACCGTGTATAAGGAGAAAAGATTAACAACAAAAAAAGAATTTTGGATAATTTTATGAGCCCTCAGAAAGCAGATTTGGGAGTATCACCCCTAGTTTGGTGCTAGCCTAGTCTACATATGGAATTGCAAGCAAACTTGTATTGCATGATAAGACATAGTCTCAAAGAATGAAACAGAAACACTCAAACAACAACAAAGAACCCTTCAAGAGTGGAATTGGAGCTTTCCCTGGATAGATGGGAATAGTGTGAACATTTAGAAAAGAACACACTTTATTTTCATGCAGAAGGAACTCTTAATTATAGAAGGTGGGGTGAAGAGGACAAAATGGCTCAGCCATGAGTTTCAAGAGAACTGTTACAGCAAGGCGACTTGGGCCAAGGAGACAAATTGTGGAGGGCTTCTGATGAGCTAGCCTGCCTCCATCTTAGGTTTGAAAGGCATCTTGTAGTGAATGTAACCTGGGTTCTTTCCTGCTTACGATTAAGTTTCTGCTTCGCAAAGGATTGAACTATGCTCTACCTGTAACCTGAAATACAAGTGGCTCTGTAATGTCTGTTCAGGAAGCTGCAACCATGCCTTTGTTTCGAAAGGTTATATGATCACCTGTGGTTTCAAAGAGTTGTAATGACCACTGTTTCAAACAGGCATGACGACCTTGTTCCGACTGTCTTATTATGACCACTTGGTTATATTTTGCTTCTATCGCTCTGTCTATTTTGCCCACCAAACCCCCTGTTTGGAAACCCCCTACCCTAAGCTATGAAATTCTTGTCTTCCTTATGTCCAATAGTGACCTTTCAAACCCCATCCTAGAGGGAAGTAGCCCCTGCACACGAATAAAAAAGCTTGCTTTAATTAACTTGGCCATGATGATTTGGGTTGGTGATCTTTCTTTTTGCATCTTTGGGATTAACATTTCTCATTGCACATGGAGTATTTATCACTTTGAGAGTTTGGGACAAGGTAAAAGCTGAGAGGCATGGAAAACAATTTTGAAGCTGCTAGTCATAATTGTTCAGGGTCCAGGTGAGGGTGTAAACTGTATCTTGCCCAGGGGAGCAAATAGAGGATTGGAATAGGATTTAGTTAGCAGGGTACATACACATCAACTGAGTCCACAGGACCACTTGAATATCCTGATATTTTCTATGAAATACAGCTAAAACTCTATCACCAGTTTTGGGAGTAATCTGTGAAATATCCCCTGGGTAATCATTACTCAGAAATAAAGGTGTGTGGGGGCAGTTGGGGGATGCTTGGTGTGGGCTCTCCTTATGGAGTTAACCTCAGGTCTCCTCCTCAGTCCAGCTCACTTTATCTATTCAGGCAGGGTTTGACAGCCTCAAGCCTGTATCTACTGACCCATCATCCCAGCCCCCATGAGAAGCTGCTTTCCAAGGGTCAGCTTCCTCTGCCTGTACAACATACTGTACACCTCGGTTCCTGGCCTTCGTGCCATTATTATTTTTACCTGTGGCTTCTACATGGGCTGTGCACCTCAGCCTTCCTTCTGGAAGATGGCCCGACCTATTTGGGGTATCTGGTGTGAGCCTTTGCACATATTATGTCCTCAACCTCAGTTGAAGCACAATAGGATGTTGGTGATGAGGTAGGTGGGAAACACATCCTGCAGTGTGTGCCAGCGGTTTAGGAAGACCAGCACCACAGAGGAGAGGAGTCAGGCAAGGTCCCTCCTGTGGGCTCACTGCTGACTCAGAAACAAAACTCCCTTCCTCCAAGCCGCCAAGGCTCCATCTGGGGGAAATCCTAATCCTTTCCCTCTTCCTTGGCAGGATTCCTGTCACTGGAGCCGGAGGCGGTGCGAGGCGGTGCGCTTGGGTCAGGGGGTGGCGTGGGGGAGGGGACTCCACTAACTTTTTAGATCAGCTTCTGGGACAGCGGTCACATACTGCTCTGCGCTGCGGGCAGGCCAGAGCCTTGAGTGGAGAAGAGAAGGCACCGTGCAGAAGCCACCGCCTCCTGCAGAGCCGCCAGTCAGCGTGTTGGGATGGAAGGAGCCAAGACACCAGGCGCCAGCTGGACCTGGACGGGGCTACTTCCCCTCCCGGGCCTGCTCTTCACCGCCACCCTACTAATCCTGGTCCTGCAACTGCTCACCCTGCGCACCAGGTAAGTGCCAAGGGTGCTCGGGCACGCATGCGCGGAATCGCGGCCGCATGACCTCTTCCCTTCGGCATGGCTCCTGGCCCTTGCCAGAGCCGCTGGGTATCATAACAAAGGCTCCTCAGGCACTCACTGGGTTACAGCCTTTCTGACCAGCTTGGACTTGCTGCGTCCTGCATGCTGTGGCTTTCCAGGTTTGGTTAAGCATTCTGCCATGGCCTTTGCCAGTGCCTGCGCATGTTTGGTGGCCCAGAATTCTCCGCATTTCAAGGAGAGAATTGTCTTGTATTTCATCTAGTTCAGAGAGAAATGATTTAAGAAAATGCTGGTGCGCGATGTGGGTACTGCTCCGTGCCTCAGTTTACCCGATTATACCTCACCTGGAAAAATAGAAACAACAGAACTTACTTATGATGGGATTTGGGGGAGTAGCAAATGTGTTAATAGTATTCATGTCTTCACTCTATTATTTTTCTCAGGACAACAAATAGTAACAGCTGTGAAACTCAGAAGTGCCTAACTATCTGGCTTGATGCATGGAAGTACAGAAATATGAATAAAATTATTCGCTATCAACTTATTTTATTTTGCCACTAGTGCCTTATCTTTGTCAAGGTTTGTGAAAACCAAGCAGATCAATTTGGGGAAATAGTACTCCTATTTAAATATCTATCCGTGGTTTGGGGAACAATGACAAAATCATACCTCACTTTTCCAAAATGTCAGTTGAAAAATATTCAAGATAATGTTATTTTCCTTTTCTCACGTGTGAGTTTTCAGAGGACTTTCCCTTCCCTCTTCTGTAGTCTCCTATACTTGTGCTGCTTCAGAGTGCACGGTGACTGGGTTTTTAACTTCAGGTTCATGTGAGTCAACCTAGGCTCCAACTTCTCACTGTTGCCGAGGCTGTTCTAGTCTCCATGCAGGGCAGGAAGAGACGAAACTAATCAGTTCATTCTAGACCACTGATGGTAACTGAGAAAGAATGTGGTATTCGAGGACCACGGGGAGATAAAAAGGCAAGGCAGACTTTCCACAGGGACTTCTGGGAATGGTCAGGTTTTTCTCTGTTCACTAAATATTACTTGTTGAAGTGTGCATGCCTTTAATCACCAGTTCCTTTACACCAGGAAGACTCTAAGGCAGCTATGTAAGGCGTTCTAGAGTATGGAAAGATGTGAGTATGTACCAGTTCAGTAAGACTCATGTCTGATGGCTTCTGTTTACTGTGTCTGGACAATTTTGTTCTATCATCATGGAAAAGTCCTGTCTGATGTCATTCATAAAAGAGAAACAATGGCTAGAACAAGATATTCTCAACAATTTGTGTATAATCACATGCATGAATACCTATTAGTATAAATGTATAAATAGAAGGAAAACACTATTACAACTTGCCTTTCCCAACTCTATAGTAGGTTTAGTTGCCATTGATGGAGAACATAGAGGGTAACACACACACACACACACACACACACACACACACACCTTTGGGCCGTTGTGGATAGTGGAGTTGTAATAGTTGTGAAACCTCCTTAAGTCAGTATGTCACTACTAAGATATCTTTTATGTCCCTGTCATATGACAAGTCATTTTGACTGTGATACTCTGATGTCTGATAAAGAAAATAAAGCTGGCTGGGCACTGGTGGTGCAGGCCTTTAATCCCAGCACTCAAAAGGCAGAAGCAGGCAGATATCTGTGAGTTCAAGGCCAACCTCGTCTACAGAGTGAGCGCCAGGAGAGACTCCAAAACTACACAGAGAAACAAAATTTCTTATTTCTTTCAAATAAGAAAGAAACAAAGAGAGAGAGAGAGAGAGAGAAAGAAAATGAACCTTTGCCTCTCTCTGTGTGTGTGTGTGTGTGTGTGTATGTGTGTGTGCGTGCACACATGTGAACATGCACATAGGAACTGCTGAAGGTCAAACCTGAGTTACTTCTACAAATGCTTCACTTAAAAAGTAGTAGATCAGTGTTTATCATGGTTTATGAATGATCTTTGGGAGCCCATTCCAAATAGAGGGATGCTGTCTCAGCCTGGACACAAGGGGAAGGGCCTAGGTCCTGCCCTGGATGAAATGACAGACTTTGGAGATCCTCCCAAGGAGGGTCTCACCCTTCCTGGGGAATGATGTGGGAACTGGGTTGGGGGCTGGGGTGGCTGATGGAGGGACAAGGGAAGAGGGGTGGGAGAGGGAGCTGGGGTTGACATGTGAAACATTCACGTTTCTAATTTAAATAAAAAATTTAATAAAGGAAACACACAAAAAATTTAAAAGTCCGATTTTCTTTTGATGCAGTTATCCCTGAAAGTTTCTTTAATAACTTATTTTCTTTTTAATTATTTATCATTTTTTCCAGAGTTGGATTTTATCCAGGGACTTGTGTAAGCTAAGCACTTTACCACTGAGTCAACACCTCAGCACTTTCTTTTAAGGTTTATAGAACTTCTCACCTTTCCATCTCTGCTGCAGTTACCTTATAGTTACTTTATATGTAAGAGTTTCTGCATATACCTCCTAACTTAGAGAAAGGACTTTAAAACCCTGACATGATAAAGATGTCCACCAGTGTTGTCCCTCTTCACCAACTAATGTTTAAGGAGATGGTATGCACACAGTGGCTATATTCAGTTCCTATCCTTTGTCTATAATGCTTGCAATACTGGGTTTTATAGGAATGCTGCATGTTTTACCCGGAAAATTGCTAAGACTAGGGGAGAACAGGACAACAGGGCAACTCAGAGGCCATTTATTGCTCTTGCCTATTTTTCCTCATCTGCTGCCCCAGCCCTATACCTTACCTCCTATGTTCCCTTTTGAGACTGGATCTCAGGTTAGTCTGAACTGTTGGGATCAAATGATCCTTCTACCACTTTAGTGGTAGACTAGGGGGCATGCCACTGCTTTCAGGCAGCTTGGATTTTTTTTTTTGGTGGAATTCTTTTCCTTTCCAGGAAGATGATTAGTGAGAACGTCAACCACAGATACCACATAGCACTCCGTGGGGGAAGAGGGTAGCACTGGCTTAACTTAGGGTTTTCACTCTAGGAAGGGTGGGAAATATTTAGAATCACCATGTATTTTGGACAATAGAGTTAACAAGAACTCCTAACTGCATACGAGAGAGAAAGACATCAACAGTTAAGTTTATATTTTCTCCATAGTTCTCAGGGTGTAAAGGAATTGGAAAATTGCTGCTTGTCCAAAGCAAATCACAGCATTTTTTAACTCTTCCAGAAGTAAAATATTATATTCTACTCACTCAATAGCATCACTAAAATATAATGAAACCTTCTAGGTAAGCCATAGCAAGAAAATGGCTGACTACTGACCAGAAATCAATCCCTCACTAGATACTAAATCTGCTAGTCCTTTGCCCCTGAACTTCCCAACCTCAGGAACAGTGAGAGATAAATTTCTCTTTCTTATAAGCCACTAGGTTTGTGGTATAGTGTTACAGAAACTCCTATGCACTAAAGATGAGTCAACCCTAAATGCCCTCTAAAAGTAGGCAGAAACTGAACTCTACTCAGACTACAGTTCCAGCACTTTTTCCTTCACAGTAAATAAAGAAAATATAACTTTAAAATTTTTTTAAAACTTCTCTGTCTGATATTACTTTTCTGTACAAGGAAGTTGTTTCTCTTTTTAATGACAGTTGTACTTTGGTTATCAAAAGGACATTTATCACAGTGACTTCTTTGAATACCAAAAGTGATGAATTATCCATATATATTTCTTCCTTATCTAGTAATTCACAGTAAATTTTGAGTGTTTGTTATATATCTAGCATCTTAATGCATCTTCCAAGTGTTTGAAAATGGGACATAGGCTATATGCATTAGGCCTCAGATGTGATGCTGGAAGCTTCTTCTCACAACCAAGAAGGCTACCTTAAGAGAGAAAGAGAGAGAGAGAGAGAGAGAGAGAGAGAGAGAGAGAGAGAGAGAGAGAGAGAGAGAGAGAGAGAGAGAGAGAGGAACGAGAGACAGAGAGACAGAGACAGAGGAGAGACAGAGAGAGAGACAAAGAGACAGAGAGAGAGGAAAGAGAGACACACAGAGAGAGACGGAGACAGAAGACAGAGAGAGAGGCAGAGAGAGCTGGAATGACTGAATATTAAAGGAACCCAAGGGACTACATGCACTTTCTTTCCAAAAATAAGTGTGGAGCAGGCTGCAGGCTGTGGAGAAAGAATCGACAGCTTCTAGCAGGAGAGTGGCTCCATACTTCATCCAAAGTGAAATCCCATTGAAACTACTCCAGGTTACTGTTCTGTGAAAGTCAAAGGACAAAACTGAGCAAAGCTACCTTGCTGAATAAGAGAAAGAACATCAATTACATCCTGCATTTTATAGCTCAAGTCCTCACATTATGGCTTGGATTTTTTTTAAACACAGAAGTATGTGGAGTGGATATTTTTGTCTATAGAAAAGTAAAAAAGGATTAATTAATTCTGTAATTGCTGAATATAAAAATTAATAGAATTTCTAACAAAAGACAAAAGTATAACTATAATATAATTTAAATCCATTGTCATTTCTTCTTATAACTTCATCCTAAATAGTTAATGAAGAAAAAATTTACAAGTTATACTAAATTAGGCACCTAGTTGAACATGGGGCACTGAGTACAAATGAAGAATGAGTGAATAAATGATCTCCTGTCAACTATTTTTCTTTCAGTATGAATATTTTAGGATGTCTCAATGTCACAATATACAAAATCACTGATACTTAAACTCATGCATATCATTTCTTATTTACAATGTAAAGGTGTCTTAAGCAAGTTCTTATCAATTGAGAATGTTTATAAAAGAAAATATAATGGTTTAATGATTATTCTTCATCATAAACCTATTTAAAAACACAGTAGCTGGAGTGCAGCCAACACTCAAAATTCCTGCTCCTGAGAATTTACAGTTTTAAAAAATGTCTAGTTAATTTTCAGTTTTAGGTGCATGATTTTTATTTCATATTCACCTCCCTTATATAAATGGTAG